GCACCCCAGTCTCCCTGCTCTTCCCCCCAGGCAGCCCCACAGCTTCTTTTTCACTGCATAGAGATAGCTATAAAGAGCCGTGATTTATTTTCACCATGAGCCCAGTGCTGCATTGCTGGGGGGTGCAAGAGGACTGGAGTGGGCACTGTCTAGTGCTATCACATGAGGGAGGCCAAGTGTGCCCCGACACTGAGATGGAAAGAAGGGGAGGGAGCCAGGTGTACTCCCAGGCAGCCCCACAGCTTCTTTTTCACTGCATAGAGATAGCTATAAAGAGCCGTGATTTATTTTCACCATGAGCCCAGTGCTGCATTGCTGGGGGGTGCAAGAGGACTGGAGTGGGCACTGTCTAGTGCTATCACATGAGGGAGGCCAAGTGTGCCCCGACACTGAGATGGAAAGAAGGGGAGGGAGCCAGGTGTACTGGGGATGGGTGGATTATTGTGTATGTAGGAAGCAACCGAGCTTCCCCCGGTGCTGGGAATGGGGCATGGAGGTAGGGGGCGGTCTGGGCTGCTCCCTTCCCTCTTGGGGTTCCTAAGCCAATCTGTGGTGGGATGGTGACAGGCTCTGGGGACTATGTCTTGTGCATTGCTCCCACTACCCAGCACCATTGTTGGAGGCTGTTCACGCTCCATACAGACTGGATAAGGTCCCAGCTGTCAGCAAAGCTCCTGGTGCTGCCCCTGGCACCTACTTGCTGCTCAAGCTCGGCCTCTAGTCCCTACCCACCTAGCAAATAGACTCAACCACTATTCCTATCCACCCCCAGCCAGCCTCTTCTGATGGCACTGCCCACTCCCACCCCAAGCTCTTACTGCCAGTGCACTGCAATAACACTGATGCCACCCCAGGGTCTGTGTCTCCTGTTACTTTATTCTCAAGATCTCAGTTTACATTGTGAGGGGCAGCTGAGCCCTGCAATCTTGGTGCTGCCCCACCAGCTCTGGGGGAGGGGGATGAGCCTCTTTGGCCAGGAGCAGCAGGCTGGGAGTTGCCATGAATCCTATTTTCATTAGCGGGGGAAAGTGTCAGGTGTGACACTGCTGGGGATGGTCTGCTGCTTCAGCGGCTTCAGGCCCATATACAGGAACTCAGACTTGGCATGACTCTTACCAAGATGAGGTGCGATACCCCTTCCTGATTGAGGTGGGTGGGACATATTCCTCCTGAAGGGGAGGGACTTTGGGGACTTGTGCTAAGGGTAGGTGCCCTCTCTGGGGAAGCTCAGTTGGGTGGGTGGGGGAAATGATCCCAACCACATACCCAGCTCCAAAGCTGGCCCTAGGAGGGTCTGAGGGCTTGGGGGGAGGTCAGGCCCTACCTGGGAAGTCCTGCCCTATTACAGATGCAGGGTGGGGGCTACATGGTGTCTGTAGCTAAGGGGTGGGATAGGCAAGGCTCAGAGCAGGGCACAGAAGAATTTCTTCTCGCGGAATGGGTTCTCAGAGGTGGGCACTGGGGTGATGAGTGGGTCTTCGCAGGCATGGGCATCACAGTATGTCATCAGGTCAGCTGCTGCCTTGGATACCTGCAGGGAGGGGAGAGGTGAGA